TTTGGAAGATATGCCGGGACAACTGAAACCGAATGAGGACGATGCTCATTGCATGTTTTGCGATAGTTTGTTTTCTGATGATAAGAAAAGAGAACTATGGTTCCAATGTTTAAAGTGCTTAAAATGGGCTCATAATGAATGTGGAGGCGCCGAAAAAGACGAATATATTTGTGACTGGTGCAAATAATATGTAGATATATAAAGTATTCCATACTTTCCCCACCTTTTCTAAGGTGAGAATTTTGTAGTTTTTTGAAAAAGTGTTTAAGATAATTACACATTTGCTTTTACATTTTGGTGTCTAATTGTCTAAAGTACCTTTTCCCTAAATTTGGCTTAAATCTATTCACTAACAAAAAATTTTTTATATACCAAACAAAAGGTATTCCATATTTGCACCTTTTCCTCTATGGTTCCAGAGTCTGTTTTGAATTTTTTTGCATCTTCCAAAAAACAATTTTATGAATATGGGACAATAATAAATAAGTACTTTTCTAGAAGATTAAAAAGATAAGGAATTATTTTTTATTTCTCTCATTTTAGATAGTAAAATTTGATTTCCCTTTATAGAGAATACGATACAATATGATTCCAGTATAATTTTGTATATATAACACAAATTAAAAACAGAATAAATCTATATTTTTGTATATTCTTTCTATATTTAAAAACAAGGTTTATCCTAAAGATAATATTTAAAACTTGAGTTAAAAGCTTTAATATCATAAATAATGCAAAACAAAGTTTTACTACTTACCAATTCATTTTTAATCCCTCGATTTATGCAAGTTAGGAGAAAATTTAAATCCTCCTATTATCTATCGATCAGAAAAATCTGTCAATTATTATAAAAATATCTACTTAATAGAGCAGTATAAAATATCCATTTTAAATACAATTTTTCCTATATTTAAAAAAATTCAATTCAGATTTTCGATTATTATTATGATTTACCGGTTTTTTTTTATTACAACATAACATTTTATTTATGAAAATAATGTAGTATATTTGTAAAATCCATCTAAGTTCGCTTCTATTCTATACAAACTAAAATGTAGTATACATATTTTCCATTAATTCCTTCGTTGAGTAATAATTACTAATTTCGGTACCTAAAATATATATATTACCTAAAATTACATTACCTAACACGAGAGTAACAGTTTTTTGTGTTCTTTATATTTTGAGCACTATTTTTTTTTTAATACCAGATCTAATGGTGTGATGTTGATGATGAATGGCAATGATGCTCTTTGGATAGTGTCTCACTCGACATTCGAAAAGGCACTAACGTTACGATTACGTAACGCAACACAACCCCTATTATAATATTAAATATAAATCTCTGTAATATGTGGTTTGTAATTTGTACAGTACTACTCTAGCTATAATTCTTTTTAACTACTGCTTCTTTCTACATTTTTTGAATAACAAACTTTATTAATAGAAGGAAGCTATCACAGTATTTTGCTTGAATACAAACATTTTTATGTTTGAATCTTCTTTAGAAACATTCTACTGAATTTAACACTCTTTTTCAAGGCATTTCTCAATACTAAATCCACAGTACCTCCTCCCCTGTTTTGCTTGAATACCACATATTAAAATTACGTGAATGGCTTCATTTTTACCAGTCTACCAAAATTTTCCTCTTACGATGTTAGGTAATACACTGACCACATATTTCTTTTGCATTGCAATTAAAAAATCATTTAGTAATAAACGCGAAACAAACAGAATTAGTCTGGCGATCGATGAATCCAGTTACTAAACAAAAACTTATAAAAACTCGCTGCAAATTTATTTTCTGCTTTCAACTAAACTTATTTCGAAAGTTTTTATGAGAAAATTTATATTTTTAAGCTTGAAGCAATTTAATTTTTCAAAGAATGAGCTAGACTTAAAATAAATTGGAATTGTTTTAAAATACACTTGAAATACAAAAAATTTTCATGTTCCCTCAATCTTATTTTTGTATGTTTACAAAATGACATTGACAGAAATTTTACTTTAAAAAATCAATTTTTGAAAACTTTACATAAGTTAAATAACACAAGTTTATGTCCAATTTAAAAATAAAAAATAACTAACCCATAAGCTTGTGGTTATTTTAAAAAACATGGATGACCAATCTATACAGGGTGTCCCATTAGTACTTAATTGCTTGATAAATCAATTTGTGTTATAGATACACAGACAAGTTAAAAATAAAAGTTATATGGATTTGAAAATTGCATATTTTAAAAATATTTGTGGATATACAGGATGTTACGTTTCTGCTTGGAAAATAAAAATGTATATTTATTTTATTTTAGTTTTGGAATGGTCTAATAATACTAGACAGTAATACTAGGTAAGATCATAATTTAGGTAGGTCAACAATGATTTTAAAATTGTTTAAAATACAGACATATCTGACGAATAGCGATAATAGAACTGATTCATTTTATACAGAGTGTTTTAAAACATGTAATAAATATGGTTCAATTGAAATTCAATAGCAAAAAAATGGTCTATTAAAATTGTTTGACGATGTGTAAACAATCAAATAGGTATGTGTAACTACCTAGAGAGTGTTTTGCTTTAAAAAACTATAAGTTTAGTCCCCCTCGTTTATAAACCACTTTGTGTATATAAGAATAATTTTTAAATACGAAGATATATAACTTTAATATTAAAAATTTCTTCGTATTGCCAATAATGAAACAGCTCTCGATCAATTAGGCTCCCTGTATATGTATATGTATAATTTGGATGGGAATATTTATAGGGAATTTCATTCTAACATAATATACAGGGTGTTGCATTTGAAAAATTCAGTAAATTGAACTTAAAATTAGCCATATTTAAGACATGTTTCAAAACATTCTGTATAAAGTATACCAGTTCTATCACCACTATTCATTAGCTTGGTATTTTATTAGTCTGTATAATAAACAATTTTGAAATAATTGCTACTGTATCTAAATTATGATAATTTTATTTGGGATCTGCATTATTCTCAAATTTCACAAAAAAATTAATTGCTTAGCAACCCTGAAATATTTTTTTAAAACCACTCTAGGGTTAAATACAACTAAAACAAAATGGAGGGTGTTGTATTTAAAACATATACTTTTTTATTTGCCAGTAAAAAACGTAATATACTGTTTATCCCAAAATATTGTTAATAATATTGAAAGCATGTGTACCGAATAATGCAATAAATGCTCTTAAAATAACTGGTATTATGCCCTTTGATCCTGACACATTTTCTGACGCTAATTTCGCAGCAGCAGAAGTTACGCAAGAGACCCACATAGCTGCTCAAAATAATCAAGAAAACTTAGAGAATAATGAAGAAACCTCTGCAACCAACCCACTTCTATGTAGTTTTCCAATTCCTGACCCAAGTACAGCAATTACAAATCAGGTATCAGACCAATGTGAAGTCAAAGTGGAAAGTTCCTTTACCGTAATTTCTGCTGATTGTAATCCTCTTCCAAAAATTAGGTGAAAGAGAGCAGCTCAAAAACGAAAGTCTGTTGGTACCGTTTCGCTCACGAGTACCCCATACAAAATCATGCTTGAAGAAGAGAATAGGAAAAAAATTGAAATAGAGTCCAAGAAAAAAAAAAAAAAAAAGAAAAACAAGTCAAAATCAGAAAGCACGGAAAAAGTTAAATTTAACAAGAAGACAAAAAAAGTAGTAGAGAAAAGTGATGACTCTAGCAGTAACAGCGGATCAGAATCAGAAGAGTGCATCTTTTGCTGAGAAAAATACGCTGCTTCTTTGACTGGCGAAGGATGCATCAGGTGCATTAAATGCCTAAAATGGGCTCATGATCAGTGTGGCGGGGTCGATGAGAACGACTGCAATTTTTTTAGTGTGATTTCTGTTTGCATCAAACCCAAACCTATCGAGTTAAGAGACATGTCAAGTTTTAAATTAGTTATGGTATTAAAAGTTTTTTAAGTTAATTTTGTTAAATAATGTTGAGCAAGTTTCTGTGTACTCCCTTAAGAGTATTAAAAATGTTTTTATGCTTTGTATGTTATGTTTTATGGTTTTTTTTTATAAATAAACTAATGTTTTGCATTTATTGTTATATTATTTATCGAAAGTGTAGTAATAAAGTAATGTTTTACGATCCCCCATGTGGGGGATCGTTTTACCTTTAGCAGTTGGGTAAAATGATCCTTTTGCAGGTATTAACAAACATCATTGTCATTCCAAAATGTGAAGAAAATCAACATATTTTTAAATAATAAATTGTTGTCAAATGGACACCAAATCCTCTAGAAAATCCAAATAAATGTATATCCTTGTACTTGCAAAAATATAACGAAATTAGCCTTAGGCGGACTATTATACCTCAGTCTCCCCTAACTTTTATTTAAAACTTGTTTGTGTATCTATAACACATTGAATTATCGAGCAATTACGCACTCTGTATAACAGGGTTGCCATATCAATGCCTACAAGTAACCAGTTTGTCTGGAGTGACTTATACTATAGCCATGTTGCCAGATTCAGTACGTTTATTACTATTTAACTTTTTTATTACGTCACTATTAGGTTGTTAGTTTTAGTACGTTTTTATTAAAAAAAGTCAATTTAGTACTAATTTGTAGTTTTTTTATAAAAAGAGAATATAAAATTAACAGTTTTTTAATAGACTCATGTATTTTATCCCCCATGGATGACAGTTTACAGTTAAGTCATGTGATAAGTCAAATTATTTATCTGATTTAAATTTATTGCTCGTTTGTTGGCCGTAATTTATTTTGTTATTTATAAAGATTATTTGGTTTAAGTGTAAAACCACAAGAAAATCATTTTTGTTTCTCTTTAGCATTTTTTTCATATGTGACCGTTTGTAAAAGTTTGAAATTTTTCACGTTTTAAACAAATTTTTAGTACGATTTGTCTTTTTCATCCTGGCAGTCCTGTAATGTAGTGACTTTGACAGCTGACAGATGGCGTTCGAATTCACGATTGTCGCCGAAGCTCATAAGATCAACGTTTTATTTTGTTTAATTAAAAACAAACTAGTCTTTTTTGTTTATTTACGCGTTTTATTTTCAAAAGATTGTGATTGTAACGACATTAGGCAAGAAAATAAGATACAACCATACAGACTGTCAACAAATAAAATTGCAATAGCTGGCCTTAAGCAGGATATATAAATACAAACTAAAGATGTTAAATTAAATAGTAACATTAGTTTATTGTGAAATTGAAAATAAACCAAGAAATACTTAATGATGGAACAACTGGAGAGGACAGAAGAATCTAGAAAACAACTCTTTCACTCTTTTTTATCATTTACTTTAAAAGAAGACTAGTGAAAGTAGTTTTAAAAGTTACAGGCCTTTAAAAAGGTTCATATTATAATTGAACACCCGGTATAAAGAGTTTAAAGTGTATTTATAATAAGAAGTTCGATAGAAGTTTAAATTTAACAATGTAAATCCAGTGAGATTTTGAAAATTTTCAGATAATTTGTTAATGAAAGTCCTTAGATAATATTTAAATTGAAACTTTAAATAAGTTTTTTATTGTAATTATTGTTTTTCAATTTTATTATTTTGTCTCACATTATGGCGTATATTGCTTATGAGGCGACGGAGACCAGTTCAGACTCCGGCAATGCCAGCTGTGGTTTTTCAGGGTGCTTCATTTTTGTAGCAATATTGGGGTGTCTATGGATAACCATCAACAGTTCTGTTTGTGGTCTCTTTGTAATTTTATTAGCTAGCTCATTCATCCTTTGTCGAATAGGTATAATTTTAAAACTTTCATGTAGTAATTCTTAATGTAATAAAGTAAACTGTATAAAAATAATGTATATATTACAAACTCACCAATAGCCGAAATAATTCTGTTTGGTCAAGCCTTGTTTTGTGTTTATTATTAAATGACTGTAGAAAATACAGCGTTTTCGTTTATTTACAAACCAGAGTTAGATGTACTTACAAAATTTATTATAAATTTTGAACTTTCGTTCACATAATAAATATTTAACCTTTTGAATTCACAATATAATGAAAGAGTGCTAAATTAGCAGTGCTACAATTTTTTTTTATAAAATCTTAGAAAGGATTGTTTAGTTTCTAAATAAGTTTAACATATAAAAATGCTTACATCAGCTGTCACTGTAATAGTCTACCTTCGCATTTTTTTTGAAAATTGTGAGTTGTTTTATTATTTCGATCTGACTCTTTATTTTTTTGATTGCCCTTTACCTGTTTTTGATTAATTTCTTGTTTATTTTAAAAATGAGTTAATATATTTGTTATTTTTTTCTTGTTCTAAGACTAAATACTAAACGGGCTTGGCACGGAGAGTTCGTAGCTTGTTGATGAGGGGGGTTCTTTCTCTTTTCTTTTGACTGGTTCAGCGTCAGGAGGTCGATGTGATTTCATATGGGCACTACGACTTTTGATTTTTGTGAACACTCTGTTGACAAAACATACATATAATATTATTTGATACATTTTAGAGTGATTCAAGCTTGTAAATTTCTATAAAATGATATTCCTAATCATAAATTAAATGTGTGAAAAATAAATTAATAATATTTAATATTATTTATACTCGTAACATTAATTATTATAATGTCAATTATCACATATTTAATATAAAATAGTTGGAAAGTTAAAGAAATCACTTTGAAATGAGTTGCCTACACTATTTTTCCTACGACCCCAACATTTTTAATATCCATGTTTTTTTAATTTTCTTTTTAAAATGTTTTAGAATTTTCATTTTAGAAAGAAATATCCTTTTAATGAACTTTTAATGAAAATAAAAAGTGTAACTGCAAACACGTAACATTTAAGATATCGTAAATGACAAATTTAAAGTTGAATCACTCTTTTAACAACATAATTTATTTACAAAATAGATAAAGAAATGTAGTATTGAAGAGGTGAGAGTAAAACTCAAACTTAAAATAAAAAAGCAGCCTAAGAAAAAGACAGGAGTTTTTTGTTATTTGATTCGGACAATTTGACATATACAGAAAACAAAATTTAACGAAATCAATCAGAGGAACATAATATATACATAAATGTTATATTCCGAAGTACTTTACACAAGATGTCTTGTTTGCTAAAATATACAGTACGTTAACCAAGGCACCCAACAAAATAAAGATGCTTAATTATATTTAAATGTAAGTGGAATTAAAGAGAGTATAACTTTAAATGCCATGATTAGATACATAATTACACCTCTACCACTAATGGGGTAACGCACACTGTTCTACCTCTGTCTCTTTAACAGAATTGCTTGTTTTATGCCATTCTCTAAGACATTGTGAGAAAGTTGACGTACTGTATATTACACCAGAGTTTTCTAGACATAAATATTTACTAATGTTTCAAGTTGAAATATATTAAATCCTAAACTTATGAAAATGTATCTATATATTTAGGAAAACTAACTAATTTTTTTCTTATTTGCCTCTATAATAAAAGAGAAGATAACTCCTAACCTTATGATTCTCTAACAATATCCAGCAAGAGTTGTTAGTGACCTTGGAGACACAACAAGAAGAACACATTTCCCCAAGCTTCTATTATTATTATTAAAAATAACACTCCATTAACTTTAATTAAAACAAAGGAAGTAGAAGCTATTAAAACAAAAATAAATATGTACTCACTATTGTATCTGCCTACTTCCCACCCAGATAAAAACTCAAACAAGAAAATTACAGCAACTCATTTTTAAGTCTTGGTGAAAAATGTATGTAAGCAAAAAATGTCTGCTGGGGCAAAAGACTTACTACCTCTTGTGATATATGTTGGTAACACTGTACATGATTTGGCAGCAGTGGGTACCTGACAGATTGTAAAGTTAACAAGGATGAAATAGACAATCTGAATAGAGACACGAAAATGAACACATGTAGTTTCATCACAAGGTGCCAAATCATGAACAGTGTAACCAACATATATTACACCTACAACCTACAAAGATCAGAAATGTAGGTGACACTCCTCGAGAAGACCTACATATATTGACCAAGCGATATTAACAAAAAAACACACCTTTTGGACTGTGTTATTTCCAGAAATATTGTAGCAAATTTTATAAAGACAGAAGATGTTGAAGAACTAATATCTAATCACTCCCAGCAAGGCGAAGATAGCAGAGAAAGGTAGAGATAAGTAGAGACGGCAGAAACAGGCAATAAATACCAAATGGATGGTTTAGAAAAGAAGAAAGGAGACAGATTAAACAAAATGAGAAAGCAATCGGTAACAACATGAATAAAATAACAGAAGAAATTCAAAAATTTAGACAGGATAACAAAAATTGAATTAGAAAAATTAAGAAATAATGGTTAATAATATTGAAGAAGTAGGAAGTGAAAAGTTGAAAGAAGAATAGAAATGAATAAATAAGAAATAGAAGAAATATAAATAGAATTTAAAGAAAAAGAAGTAAATGGAGAAAACGAAGTCAAAATAAAAAAATAACAATAAAGAAAATGAAAGAAAAATGACAATTAAAGAATTACAGAAGGAAGTGAACAAGAAAATGAAAAAAAATGGAAAACAATTTACAAAGAAAATTAAAAGACATGATAAAATACAGAAGAAAACATATAGGACTTCATAATATAAAGGTATAATAATGATTAAAAATTAATCGAGGGTAAAAGTAAGATAGATACAGAGGGATGAAAAAAATATCAACAATAAATAAGAAAATGAGGACAAAATTAAAACTGATGGAAGCAAAAATAAGAGAGGTAGAAAATAATTTTTGAAAATAATTAGGAATTGGGGGGTTGGCAGAAAATGAGAGCGAGAGAACAAAGCTTAGAAAGCAACGCAAAGAAATATATTTAAAAAATTAGATAAAGGACAAAGAGGGCTTTAAGAGTAACAAATGGAAAAGACAAGTTTGTGGAAAGTTTCACCATCTGTTTGAAAGGCTGTATATTCTTGAAAATGCAAATGGAGAAAATAATTATGTGTTAAATTATATAGAGGGTGAGGGGATAAAGGAGATATTCAAAGTTGTACGGTTTTGTAGTATATTATTGTAATTATTTTTTTTTTTGAGTGTAATGTTAGCAATCCAAAAAATTGGCAAATTGATATTCTCTTGGAGAAGTAACATATGTGTTAAAATTAATTTGGAGATTTGATATGAAAATTTTTAAAGGATAACGTCACAAAGTGCTAATTAGAGATAACAATATCGGGGTGGGGGATGGAAAATTTTTATAAATGTAATAGTAGTTGGGAGGGATATTTTTGGTTTTAAAAAATTATCATAGTGGGAAAATAGATTGTCAGATGGAATTTTATTAAATAAAAGTGGAAAAAGCTGTTTATAATAATTGTTGGAGTTCTGATTGATGTTTTATTAGATTGGTATTATGTAATGTTGGTGGTCGTTAATTCCCAACAATCAACTGCCGGGAAACTGATGGCCCAGTGCTGCGATTGATGGGGAAATGACCATGTTGGCCAAATATTAAAAGAAGAAGAAGAAGAAGAAGAAGAAAAATAAGAAGCAGCAATAGAAGAAGAAGAAGAAAAAGAAGAAGAAGAGTTTTTAGACATATTTAATGTAATTATGTTGGTATTTGGTTTGCAGAATGCAAAAATTAAGTTTCATCATTCTTTCTTTTGATGGAATTATAGAATAAAAAGAAGTATTTAAGTAATAAAATAGTTCCCGTTTTATAGTATGAAATACAATTATACCGATTCCTATTTAAGCAACTTTTTATTTAGTTTGTACCAAAAAGACAAAGAATAAATTTCATAAATTATATAATGCTTGATTTTCCTGGACTTCAGAAAAGAATAATAGTGTGTCAGTAGTTCAAATTCGGAATGTCGTAAACATGTAGGTATATTAATTTACGATTTTCAGGTGTATATTACTGATACACAAGTGGAGAATCTGAAGACGATTGCACAGGGAAAAAGAAAAGGGGGCAAAAAATAAAGTACCATTTACTTTCAGTGCTAAATTAAACCATTATTTTTTAATAAACTGCTGAAATATTAAAAATAGCCTATATTGGGCCTGCAGTTATCCATTGAAGGCCCTTTAACTGTACGATGGCAAAGTGACTCTGGAATGTTAAAAGTCCTGTTAATGGTATTGCTGCTAAACTACCTGTGGCTCGACTGTCGGCCGTACTGAAGTTCGTAGGTAAATTAAAGGCAGAGAGTTGTTGGGCCGTTATTTCCACGGACCAAAATGTTTGTTGGGTTGAAAATTAAAATAAAGAAATATTAAGGTAATTTGAGAATTTTATTTTTAAAATTAAATATTAAAGACAGAGATAGTAGAGAAAAGTATAAAGATAGAGAACACCATAGAGGTAGAGACAAGTAGACAAGTAAAGACGACAGAGTCTGGCAAAGACGGTAGAGACAGACAGAGGTGAACAGTGAACAAGCAGAGAAAGAAAACAAAAAAAAACTATTAAGATATAAAACTTTTCCACAAAATTGTTACATCCTGTATGTGGCGCTGAATAAAGAGGGAGCAAAAATAAGGGTATTCTAGTCCTCCTGCAGCCACCGACGTACTATTCCCATCACATTATCCTCACAAGCAAGATGAAGGATTAATAGATTTTAATTTTGAATTTTTTGAGTACTGCACTGGTAATTTAATGCAATTTATTTATAGAACATTGATTTAGTATCGATTTAAATAAACTAATTTTCTTGTGTAAAAGTACGACATTTTCTCAAATCACCATGTTTCTAAATCTAAAAGACAAACCTTAATAATGTTCAGTTAAATTTTATTTTTGTATAGAGTGAAAGCCGAATAACACCAAAATTGAAGTCTCTCATCTTTTTTTTATTTCGGTATTAAGATCGGCAATAATTTGTTGTGACTTGCCCACGTGCATGTTTTACTAAAAGAAATTATAACAACTACTATGTACATTGTACAGTAGGGTCGAATTAGACCGTTTACCTATGATACAATTTTGTACGTCTAGTCTATTGGATGTTTTTTCAGATATACAAAAAAGTAGAATTATTGAACTAATCAAATTCTATTTTATGGTAAACATTCGCCCTACTGAACATGAAACAACAAAACTCCAGTAGCTGAAGGAAGTCTTTGGCACTAAATAAACAATAGTGGCATGCAAGATATACAAAAAAAATATAAATAAATAACACAGGTATTTTTCCTTAAGACGCTAGGAAAAATACAAAATGTGAAGGAGTGGTTAATATTCTGACAAGAAAATCAATATGTAAGTTTTCTGTGACTCCAAAACTTGAGATGACATTGGATAATGTTGTTGTAAACCCATTCAGTTTATAAGTAATGTTTTCCTTTGTATAAGCCAGTCTAGTCTAGTTATTTGTTGATCTAAGAAGGAAATATAATTGTCAGATGTCTAAGAGTCGAAAAAGATGAAGTGTTTTTGGCAGTAACAAGTTAATAAGTAG